TAAAAGCTCGGTGAGTGTGATTTTCATCAGAGCTCCTACTGGTTTTTTATTACTGCAACAATATTATTTGCTAATCCCTCCTTTTAGGTGCCAAATTGAAATCCCCCAGGAGCAAGATTTGGGGGGCAGGGGCTGAAGGTTTTTCCCAAAAGTGGTCAATTTTAACACTGTTCCTGGAATTGCGGGATTTTCATCCGGGGTTAAGATTATCACAATGACAGGTTTTTTTTCCGGCCTTTACTGCTAAAACTTTCCCTAATCATTTGAGGCATTTAGCAGTTCGTGCAAAAAAGTGACCTGCAATGTACAGGCCAATCCCCCCGTTTTGCCTGTTCACTCTGTCACATCTGTATAGGTTGTAACCTGGGATCCATATTTCGTTGTCCAAGTGATCCTTTATGTGGGTCTCAGTGAAAGCCGCGAACATTGCCTTTGCCTCTGCAAGCAGTCCACGGATGAAAGGTATTTTGTTGTTTGTTGCTGGCTTTAGACCCTGTATATTTGCAAAGAAGAATGTTATCGGACTGGTGGTATTGTTGGTACTGGGGGGGGATTTTTTTCCGGCATTAGTAGTGATGGTATAGCATAGTGATAGTATAGCACAGTGATAGTATAGCATAGTGATGGTATAGCATATTGATGGCATAGCATAGTGATGGTGTAGCATAGTGATGGTATAGCATTGTGATGGTATAGCATTGTGATGGTATAGTATAGTGATGGTATAGCACAGTAATGGTATAGCATATTGATGGTATAGCATAGTGATGGTATAGCATAGTGATGGTAAAGCATAGTGATTGTATAGCATGGTGATGGTATAGCATAGTGATGGTATAGCATAATGATGGTATAGCATAGTGATGGTATAGCATAGTGATGGTATAGCATAGTGATGGTATAGCGGTGATGGTATCGCATAGTGATGGTATAGCATAGTGATGGTAAAGCATAGTGATGGTATAGCATAGTGATGGTACAGCATAGTTATGGTATAGCATAGTGATGGTATAGCACAGTGATGGTATAGCAGTGATAGTATAACATAGTGATGGAATAGCATAGTGATGGCAAAGCATAGTGATGGTATAGCATAGTGATGGTATAGCATAGTGATGGTATAGTGATGGTATAGCAAAGCATAGTGATGGTATAGCATAGTGATGGTATAGTGATGGTATAGCAGTGATGGTATCGCATAGTGATGGTATAGCAAAGCATAGCGATGGTATAGCAGTGGTGGTATAGCATAGTGATGGTATAGCAGTGATGGTATAGCATAGTGATGGTATAGTGATGGTATAGCATAGTGATGGTATAGCATAGTGATGGTATAGTGATGGTATAGCAGTGATGGTATCGTATAGTGATGGTATAGCATAGTGATCGTAAAGCATAGTGATGGTATAGCATAGTGATGGTACAGCATAGTTATGGTATAGCATAGTGATGGTATAGCATAGTGATGGCAAAGCATAGTGATGGTATAGCATAGTGATGGTATAGCATAATTATGGTATAGCATAGTGATGGTATAGCATAGTGATGGTATAGCGTAGTGATGGTATAGCATAGTGATGGAATACCATAGTGATAGTATAGCATAGTGATGGTATAACATAGTGATAGTATAGCATAGTGATGGTATAGCATAGTGATGGATAGAATAGTGATGGTAATGCAAAGTGATAGTATAGCATAGTGATGGTATAGCATAGTGATGGCATAACATTGTGAGGGTATAGTATAGTGATGGTATAGCATTGTGATGGTATAGCATAGTGATGGTATAGCATAGTGATGGTTTAGCATAGTTATGGTATAGCATTGTGCTGGTATAGCAATGTGATGGTATAGCATAGTGATATTATAGCAAATTAATGGTATAGCATAGTAATGGTATGACATTGTGATGGTATAGCATTGTGATGGTATAGCATTGTGATGATATAGCATTGTGATGGTATAGCATAGTTATGGTATAGCATAGTGATGGTATAGCAGTGATGGTGTAGCATAGTGATGGTATAGCATAGTGATGGTATAGTGATGGTATAACATAGTGATGGTATAGCATTGTGATGGTATAGCATTGTGATGGTATATCATAGTTATGGTATAGCATAGTGATGGTATAGCATAGTGATGGTATAACAATGTGATGGTATAGCACTTTGATGGTATAGCGTTGTGGTGGTATAGCATTGTGAAGGTATAGCACAGTGATGGTATAGCATAGTGATGGTATAGCATATTGATGGTGTAGCATAGTGATGGTATAGCATAGTGATGGTATTGCATAGTGATGGTATAGCATTGTGATGGTATAGCATAATGATGGTATAGCATTGTGATGGTGTAGCATAGTGATGGCATAGCATAGTGATGGTATAGCATAGTGATGGTATAGCATAGTGATGGTATAGCATAGCGATGGTACAGCATAGTGATGGTGTAGCATAGTGATGGTAGTGCATAGTTATGGTATAGCATAGTGATAGTATAGCATAGTGATGGTATAGCATAGTGATAGTATAGCAAAGTGATGGTATAGTATAGTGATGGTATAGCATAGTGATAGTATAGCATAGTGATGGTATAGCATAGTGATGGTATAACATTGTGAAGGTGTAGTATAGTGATGGTATAGCATTGTGATTTTATAGCATAATGATGGTATAGCATAGTGATGGTATAGCATAGTGATGGTATAGCATAGTGATGGTATAACATTGTGAAGGTGTAGTATAGTGATGGTATAGCATTGTGATTTTATAGCATAGTGATGGTATAGCATAGTGATGGTACAGCATAGTGATGGTATAGCATAGTGATGGTATAGCATAGTGATGGCATAGCATAGTGATGGCATAGCATAGTTATGGTATAGCATTGTGATGGTATAGCATAGTGATGGTATAACATTGTGAAGGTATAGTATAGTGATGGTATAGCATTGTGATTTTATAGCATAAAGATGGTATAGCATAGTGATGGTATAGCATAGTGATGGTACAGCATAGTGATGGTATAGCATAGTGATGGTAAAGCATATTGATGGTATAGCATAGTGATGGCATAGCATAGTTATGGTATAGCATTGTGATGGTATAGCATAGTGATAGTGTAGCATAGTGATTGTATAGCATAATGATGGTATAACATTGTGATGGTATAGCATTGTGATGGTATAGCATTGTGATGGTATAGCATAGTGATGGTATAGCGTAGTGATAGTATAGCATAGTGATGGTATAGCATAGTGATGGTATAGCATAGTGATGGTGTAGCATAGTGATGGTATAGCATAGTGATGGTATAGCATAGTGATAGTATAGCATAGTGATGGTATAGCATAGTGATGGTATAGCATAGTGATGGTGTAGCATAGTGATGGTATAGCATAGTGATGGTATAGCATAGTGATGGTATAGCATAATGATTGTATAGCATTGTGATGGTATAGCATAGTTATGGTATAGCAAAGTGATGGTATAGCATAGTGATGGTATAGCATGGTTATGGTATAGCTTAGTGATTGTAAAGCACAGTGATGGTATAGCATAGTGATGGTGTAGCATAGTGATGGTATAGTATAATGATGGTATAGCATAGTGATGGTATAGCATAGTGATGGTATAACATAGTGATGGTATAGCATAGTGATGGTATAGCATTGTGATGGTATAGTATAGTGATGGTATGGCAGAGTGATGGTATAGCATTGTGATGGTATAGCATAGTGATGGTATAGCGTAGTGATGGTATAGCATAGTGATGGTATAGCATAGTGATGGTATAGCATTGTGATGGTATAGCATAGTGATGGTATAGCGTAGTGATGATATAGGTACGTTTGGGAAATTGGAAGTTATGTAGTCTGCTGTTCATTAGCAACAAGGTTGATATTGACCAGCAACAACCAGTTGTCATTTAGTTGACAGACAAGTCAGTTTGGTACATCTCCCCAATTGATTTATATCATGTTGTTCACACATTATCAAGGAACTTATATGTATGTATATGACCTTCCTAAATATTTTTACGTATCAGACAATTTTCCTTTGTGATTATACAGTAACAGATCTTTATCAACACTTGGCTTCCATGGTGAGTGAGGAGCCAGGTGTTGTTGACAAAGGTGAATCAGTGTTTTGAGGGCAGCCATGGCATGTGCACGTATACTGAGGGAACATAAGAAAGCGGCTCTAGACGCTATCTCAACAATCACTATAGAGCCCATACTATTTGTACATTATGTTTCCTTGTATACACTCACAGTAGTTAAAGATACCATGAAACTTGATCGGTTCTGTCGGGTGACGCTGAACTATTCCACCCAGGACTGCAACAATATTAACGACAAGGAGCATTCCCAGTTACAGGTGAAGGTACAGCAGCTCGACAGTGTCTTCGTATTTTATGAGAAGATAGCGAGCACTGTTATCCCAATCATATTGATGTCTTTCATTGCTTCCTGGAGCGACAAGCGAGGCCGTCGTGTCCCAATTCTCCTCTCATTATTTGGAGACATTCTTTATACCATAATATACCTACTGGAGGCGTTATTTATGTCTTGGTCACCATACGTTCTTCTGGTGGCATCCTTCCTTCAAAGTATTGGAGGAGGCTTTGTGATGCTTCTCATGGCATCTTACAGTTACATGGCAGACAACACCAGTCATCAGTCCAGAACAATTCGTATGACAGTTATGAATGTGGTCTGGCACAGTGGAGGTCCAGTTGGAACACTTCTTGGAGCCTGGGTCTTTGACATTGGAGGCTTCGTTTCAGTCTTCAGTACTTCTCTCATTCTCTATACTCTCGCATTCGTTGCGGCTTTTAAAGTCGTTAAAGACAAAAATAAAGAAGAGGCTACTGAGCACAAACTGAGAGAAACAAGTCCATGGAACCCGAGAAATGTGATTGATTTAATTGTTGTAGCCATCAAGAGGCGGTCAGGCAGGACACGGGGTCATCTTCTACTTCTCCTGTCACTGATGATCGGTTACTTAAGTTCTGTGCCTCATAACATGTACCTGTGGACACGTAGAGTGTTTCACTGGGATCAGAATCAGTACAGTTTGTACTCGTCACTTAGCATGATAGCTGAGCAACTGGCGGTACTCAGTACTGCACTAATATTCCGCAGACTAACTCTACACGACTGTGAGATTGGTGCAGCATCACTCCTTGCTTTGTTTGTGAAAAACTTGGCTTTTGGATTTCTTACCACTTCCAGTCAGTGGTGGGTTATATATGTGTTTATTATCGTGCCAAGCATACTTCCAACTATCGCAATAAGGAGCCAAATATCTAAGGTGAGACGAAGTGAAAGTGAAAATAAAGATTTATTTAGTTCACAACTGATATTTTAGTAAACGCTTTGATCTATCTTTGGGCTGGAAATAATTAGAATTATAAATATAATCTACCTTCCTGTCTGCTGGAAGTTTTACCATGAGAAATAATGACAGATTTGATCCATTTTTCTGCTGGAAGCAAGAGCAAAGTAATAATAACAACTAATATTTATTGTTTGTTGTAGCTGTGTGATGGGGAGGAGATTGGTAGATATTTTTCACTGCTGGCCATCCTGGAAGTGTTGTGGCCCCTGCTAGATACTGCCATCTTCACCGCCGTCTACACGTCTACTCTCTCCTTCTACCCGTCCTATCAACATCTGGTCTCTGCTGGCTTCTGTGTTTATGTTCTTACAGGCTTTCTGTTACTTAGGCTGTCCCTGTCCAGCTGTCAGCGTTCACATACAGTACCTGATGCCAAACGCTCACCTGCAGTACCTGATGTCAAAGGTTCACCAACAATATCTAATGTCAAAGGCTTACATACAGTACTTGATGTCAAAGACTTACCTACAGTATCTAATGTCAAAGGTTCACTTGCAGTACCTGATGTCAAAGGTTCACCTACAGTAACTGATGTCAATGGTTCATTTACAGTACTTAAAGTCACAGTATATACAACCCCTCAAAATACTTCTTAAATCACAACCAAAGCTTCGCCTTGAAGCCAAACATGATGCCTTAAGCTGTATTGATAACTTAGTCACACAGCACACTCAAAAAATATTTACGTTGATGGTTCTGTTCACCAATCCACTGGTGCAGCTGGTAGTGTTGCTGTTGTCGTACACTGGTGCAGCTGGTAGTGTTGCTGTTGTCGTACACTGGTGCAGCTGGCAGTGTTGCTGTTGTCGTACACTGGTGCAGCTGGTAGTGTTGCTGTTGTCGTACACTCGTGCAGCTGGCAGTGTTGCTGTTGTCGTACACTGGTGCAGCTGGTAGTGTTGCTGTTGTCGTTCACTCGTGCAGCTGGCAGTGTTGCTGTTGTCGTACACTGGTGCAGCTGGTAGTGTTGCTGTTGTCGTACACTGGTGCAGCTGGTAGTGTTGCTGTTGTCGTACAGAGTGATGGCTCTCTTAAAGAAATTGGAGCACGCATCAATAATTGGGCCTCTACCCTTCAAACAGAAATGTTTGCCATACTCCTTGCACTAAAATGCATCTATGTATCTAAGATTGACAGTTTAATTGTAACTGATTCTCTGTCATACATAAATGCTCTCAACTCATTAAGTATAAATTGTGGCATGCTTGTGTCAGAAGCCAGACACAGGTATGGTAGGATTGTGGACAGTGGAGTCAGAGTGCACATGCTGTGAATTCCTACTCACATTGGTCTTCAGATGCATGATAGAACTGATAAATTGGCTAAGCTGTATGCTTTCCAAGAGGGGGTAGATTACAATCTTGGTTGTCAGTTAGCAGTTTGAGAACAATAATACGAAAAGAACTTCAAGTGAACTTTATTGACATAAGACTGAGGGAGAGTGACACCAGTCAGTCCATATATCATCATTCTATCATGCAGGAGGAGCCACATGTCTATGGTGCATCCAATAACATAAGCCGACTCTTGGATGTCACTACTGCCCGGCTCCGACTGGGTTACAAGTATCTATGGCAGGTTAAATCACCACCACCAGATGTAGACCAAACCAAATGTAAACTTTGCCAGATGGACTATTGTCACACCTTGCGTCATTATGTACTGGAGTGCGATCAGATTAATGAATTTAGAGCCAATTCACTCAGAAATGTTCAAGAAATGGCAAAGTATTTTATCCACAGTGGTATATTACTGACCATTCTGTAATGTACCACTGTACTTTGTTCACTGTAAATAAAGTATTACCACGTGTGTGTGTGAGTGTGTGTGTGTGTGTGTGTGTGTGTGTGTGTGTGTGTGTGGTTGTGTGTGTGTGTGGTGTGTGTGTGTGTGTGGTGTGTGGTGTGATGTGTAGTACTCACCTATTTGTACTTACCTAATTGTAATTGCAGGGGTCGAGACTCAGCTCCTGGCCCCTCCTCTTCACTGAACAATACTAGGCCCTCTCTCTCCCTGCTCCATGAGCTTTATCATACCTCGTCTTAAAGCTATGTATGGTTCCTGCCTCCACTAGCTCACTTTCCAGACTGTTCCACTTCCTGACAACTCTGTGACTGATAAATTAGACACATGTGCAACTCTTGGGTATCTTTATTGAGGAAACGTTTCGCCACACAGTGGCTTCATCAGTCCATACATAGGAGAAACTTGAAGAACAGGAGGAGAATGAGGTAATCAGTCCCTCAACCTTGAGTCGATGTGTTCAGTCCATCAATCTTGAGTAAATACTCAAGATTGATGGACTGAACACAATCGACTCAAGGTTGAGGGACTGATTACCTCATTCTCCTCCTGTCTTCAAGTTTTCCTATGTATGGACTGATGAAGCCACTGTGTGCGAAACGTTTTCCTCAATAAAGATACCCAAGAGTTGCACATGTGTCTAATTTATCAACATGTCGGTTCTCTGAACCATTCATCTACAAACTCTGTGACTGAAGAAATACTTCCTAAGATCCCTTTGACTCATTTGAGTCTTCAACTTCCAATTGTGACCCCTTGTTTCTGTGTCCCCTCTCTGGAACATCCTGTCTCTGTCCACTTTATCTATTCCTCGCAATATTTTGTATGTCGTTATCATGTCTCCCCTAACCCTCCTGTCCCCGTGTCGTCAGGCCTATATGTGTGTGTGTGTGTGTGTGTGTACTCACCTAGTTGTGGTTGGAGGGATCGAGTCATAGCTCCTTTTCTCGCCTCTTCACTGGTCGCTCTGTGTGTGTGTGTGTGTTGTATGTGTGTGTGTGTGTGTGTGTGTGTGTGTGTGTGTGTGTGTGTGTGTGTGTGTGGTGTGTGTGTGTGTGTGTGTGTGTGTGTGTGTGTGTGTGTGTGACTCAACAATCAATATTTGCACCAATAACTCACTTATGACCGGGTGTGGACGTGTGGATCGTTCATTACTCTATAATTTGTTCATGATTGTAGCCATGTATAAACGTAAGTAAGTAAGCAAACTTAATTACTTACATGATACATTACCTTTGTACTTTGTTCAGCTATCAAAACTTTGGAGTCCAGTCCCTGGACCCATTATGTACCTCTGTAATGTTGAGGTACAGTCCCTGGACCTATAATGTACCTCTGTAATCCTCTGACTACCACCCACAGGCTGGGTCTAGTGTGCATAATAAAGATATTAACTAAATTAACATTATTATAATCACAGGGAGGCGCTAAACCCGTAGAATTACGCAGCGCATATGGAGGGGATGGAAGGTATGCAGGTTTAATTCAGGGAACTGAAGCACAGATCCAATTCCCTAGATCAAGAGCCCCTCACCAGCATCAAGGCACCTCCCTTGAGGCGCATTAAACTAAAAAACTAAACTAGTACAGTCTTAAGTCATGATACATCACCCAGTATTAGATGTCTCAGTATCTCCTACGTACTTGGTATCAACGTATACACTGTGGCACCTGGTATCAACGTATATACTGCAGTACCTGGTATCAACGTATATACTGCAGTACCTGGTATCAACGTATATACTGCAGTACCTGGTATCAACGTATATACTGCAGTACCTGGTATCAACGTATACACTGTGGCACCTGGTATCAACGTATATACTGCAGTACCTGGTATCAACGTATATACTGCAGTACCTGGTATCAACGTATATACTGCAGTACCTGGTATCAACGTATATACTGCAGTACCTGGTATCAACGTATACACTGTGGCACCTGGTATCAACGTATATACTGCAGTACCTGGTATCAACGTATATACTGCAGTACCTGGTATCAACGTATACACTGTGGCACCTGGTATCAACGTATATACTGCAGTACCTGGTATCAACGTATACACTGTGGCACCTGGTACAACGTATATACTGCAGTACCATGGTATCAACGTATATACTGCAGTACCTGGTATCAACGTATATACTGCAGTACCTAATATCAACGTGTATACTGCAGTACCTGGTATCAACGTATACACTGTGGCACCTGGTATCAACGTATATACTGCAGTACCTGGTATCAACGTATATACTGCAGTACCTGGTATCAACGTATACACTGTGGCACCTGGTATCAACGTATATACTGCAGTACCTGGTATCAACGTATACACTGTGGCAACCTGGTATCAACGTATATACTGCAGAAACCTGGTATCAACGTATACACTGTGGCACCTGGTATCAACGTATATACTGCAGTACCTGGTATCAACGTATATACTGCAGTACCTGGTATCAACGTATATACTGCAGTACCTGGTATCAACGTATATACTGCAGTACCTGGTATCAACGTATATACTGCAGTACCTGGTATCAACGTATACACTGTGGCACCTGGTATCAACGTATATACGCAGTACCTGGTATCAACGTATTTTACTGCAGTACCTGGTATCAACGAAATATAACTGCAGTACCTGGTATCAACGTTTTATACTGCAGTACCTGGTATCAACGTATACACTGTGGCACCTGGTATCAACGTATATACTGCAGTACCTGGTATCAACGTATATACTGCAGTACCTGGTATCAACGTATACACTGTGGCACCTGGTATCAACGTATATACTGCAGTACCTGGTATCAACGTATACACTGTGGCACCTGGTATCAACGTATATACTGCAGTACCTGGTATCAACGTATACACTGTGGCACCTGGTATCAACGTATATACTGCAGTACCTGGTATCAACGTATATACTGCAGTACCTGGTATCAACGTATATACTGCAGTACCTGGTATCAACGTATATACTGCAGTACCTAATATCAACGTGTATACTGCAGTACCTGGTATCAACGTATAAAACTGTGGCACCTGGTATCAACGTATATTACTCCCAGTACCGGGTATCAACGTATATACTGCAGTACCTGGTATCAACGTATATACTGCAGTACCTGGTATCAACGTATATACTGCAGTACCTGGTATCAACGTATACACTGTGGCACCTGGTATCAACGTATATACTGAAAGTACCTGGTATCAACGTATATACTGCAGTACCTGGTATCAACGTATACACTGTGGCACCTGGTATCAACGTATATACTGCAGTACCTGGTATCAACGTATACACTGTGGCACCTGGTATCAACGTATATACTGCAGTACCTGGTATCAACGTATATACTGTGGGCACCTGGTATCAACGTAATATACTGCAGTACCTGGTATCAACGTATATACTGCAGTACCTGGTAATCAAGTATATACTGCGTACCTGGTATCAACGTATACACTGTGGGCACTGGTAATCAACGTATATACTGCAGTACCTGGTATCAACGTATACACTGTGGACCTGGTATCAACGTATATACTGCAGTACCTGGTATCAACGTATATACTGCAGTACCTGGTATCAACATATAACTGCAGTACCTGGTATCAACGTATATACTGCAGTACCTGGTATCAACGTATATACTGCAGTACCTGGTATCAACGTATATACTGCAGTACCTGGTATCAACGTATATACTGCAGTACCTGGTATCAACGTATATACTGCAGTACCTGGTATCAACGTATATACTGCAGTACCTGGTATCAACGTATATACTGCAGTACCTGGTATCAACGTATATACTGCAGTACCTGGTATCAACGTATATACTGCAGTACCTGGTATCAACGTATATACTGCAGTACCTGGTATCAACGTATATACTGC